AATCAAACTGGGGATTCATCGTTCCATACGGTTTGTGTAACATTTAGGATATCAGGTTGTCAAGATAGCATCAGTAGATTTCGGCAACACTCTTAAAATTGTAGTGTCTATGTTAATGTTTCTACTGTACATCTCAATGCAATTTCCAGAGCTGGGAGGAAGATAAACTCTCAAGGTCTTCGAAAAATAACACAATAAAGGCTTCCACTAAGCTCTTCCTCTTTCATCGACTAAAAAGCAAGAAGCACAAAAACAACACATTTCCAAAAGACCAACATGAAAACATGTTGGACCACTCTGTTCCTGATTTGGACCCACCAGTGTCTCCTAAGGTACTTCTTTAATGCAGCAGCTTGCCCATACACCCTCATGACAAATGCAATCACATACTGTATCGTTGAGATGTTTCATATCAATTATTAGCTGTGTCAGAAAAGTTCCAGAACTGGCGTCGCAAAGGACAGATCCATCCATCCATTTTCAACGCCGCTTATCCTGAAGAGGGTCACGGGAATTGCTGGAGCCTTTCCCAGCTGACCTCGAGCGAAAAGGCGGAACAACCCCTGAATTTGTTGCCAGTCAGTCACGGGGCACATACTGTATAGAGACGAACAACAATACATATCCACATTCACACCATCACTGAGGATGCCCGCACACAAGTCCAGCGAGTGTCCCACTACACCAGCAAAACGCAAAAAATATATTTTAAACCCAAATAATAAATTTATAGTTTCATTTTAAATGTGAGACAGAGAGTCAACCAGGATGTCTACAAAGAGATCCACAATGTCCTGAGCTGGAGCAACATTTCTACTACCTGACCTGACTTGTTTTTTTTTCTCCCCGCCCTCTGATGGTGGCCACCTCGGGAACCCGTTTTGATATGCATGACAAATTAGATTAGATTAGATTAGATATCCTTTATTTGTCCCACACTGGGGAAATTTACAGCCTTCAGCAGCAAGATTGTGGGTAGAAAGAAGAGAAAAGAAAACACAGTTCAATTAAGTGCAATATAAATACAAACATGGATAAGGTCAATAATTAAGTGCAATATAATACAATAGTCACAGTACTATTCACATATGTTGTCATATCATTTAAATAATTCTATGCTTTATTGATTTATTCATTTTTTATTCAGCAGCCTGACAGCAGTCGGTAGGAACGAGCGGCGGTATCTCTCCGTCTTGCAACGCGGGTGTAACAGTCTCTGACTGAAGGAGCTACCGAGTGCTGTCAGGGCTGGCTGGAGGGGGTGGGAGGGACTGTCCAACATAGCTTTTAGCTTAGCTAGCATCCTGCTGTTGCCCACCTCCTCCAGAGTGTCGAGGGAGCAGCCCAGGACAGAACCAGCCTTCCTGACTAGTCGCTCTAATCTCTTCCTATCCCGGGCCGAGATGCTGCCTGACCAGCAGACAATGCAGACCAGCAGAAAAAAGATGGCCATGATGACAAAGCTGTTGAGTATCCTTGAAAAATCCTTCAGGAGTTCATGTTGGTGTGGTAAAGAAGGCTCTGAAATCACATTAGACACCATCGGTCTTACTTTTAAAGGAGAAAACTTACAAAAAGATACAGACAGTACAGTACCTATTGTCACACCAGTCCTGAAACTTTTCTAACACACCATGTACATACTGTAACGTACAATGCATATTTTCATCACCTAAACCACAAGTATGCGCATGCAAGTCTGTTTTACTCGTATGTTTTTTCTTTCATTGTTGTTTCCTGCAGCCAGCATCACATGATACAATTGGGGAGGATGGCTTTTTCGACCTCCTCTCTCGTTTCCAGGGAAACCGAATGGATGACCAAAGGTGCTCTCTTTTAGATGACTCGAGCCATCAGAATGCCAGTTCCTCTCCCTCATCCACCCCACCTGTAGCTGAAAGAAAATGTAAGTGTGTGCCCCTGTGTCTCGACATCTGTTTTCACACCATACTAAACTCAAATGACTGTATTCTTCACTTGACCAATGACGGCTACGGTCTGTCAACCTGGCATGTTATGGTGTGAATACAGAAAAATATCCTCAAGCGTTCCCTTCAAATATTAAATGTTGTGAATTGATATAATGCCCTTTTCCACTCCACATCTCTGCTTTTGAGAATCCGGCAAGTCACCCTTGGTTGGTCATATGGCCTGCTTGTTTAACCATTGATCGGGGATGATCAATTGCATCTGTGATTGTGAAAATTGCAACCGCATCAAAATATGGATTTGTTTGTTTGTTTTGGTTTCAATATTGAGAATTACTTCATGAGTCCAAAGCATTATCATCTGCAATCCCATTGTGCCTTGACTGTGTGGCAAGGTTGAGTATTTATTTTGGTACACTGTTGCTGATTCCGTTTCTAGCTACAGGTATACTGGATTGCGAAGCACCATTGCAGGATCCTGCTCATTTCCTGGAGCTGCTGGCCAGCTCCCAGGCCCGGCGTCTGGACGACCAACGAGTCAGCCTGAGCCATTTTCCTGGCTTGAGACTCAGCACCTGCAACCGGCCCAGTACACCCTCCACCTCGAGCGAAAACCAAGACCCTTCACAAGGTGATGGCTGATGATATTCAAACTCCTCACAAGTGTTCACTTTCACATCTGCTTCCAATGATTTTCCTGCTTGCTCCTTCCAGCCCCAATTTCCAATGCAGATCCAGCTCACACACCCTCCCAATACAGCTGCGACGAGACCAGCATTAACCAGCTGGAGGGAGATGATGTCTTTTTTGACATGCTTGTCAAGTGCCAGGTGAGCGAGACGCTTCACAGGATTTAATTATTCTACCAGTAGTTACAGTTGAAGCAACAATTATCAAGAAAATCAAATACATTTGTGATGTTTAATGTGGGGCATCCATACAATATAAAAATAAAAAGTTGACAATTGTTGTCAAATGCAAGGTTTTAGTGATTTTAAAAAGTGAGACCAAGATAAATAATTTAAAAAATTTCCACCATTAATGTGGCCTATAACATGTACAGTTCAATCGAGAAGGTTTTTTTTCTTATCTTTTTAAGAGGGGAAGCAAAAAGAAACAACTGAAATAACATGGTGGCACAAGCGTATACTCTACTTCCTATTATCACTGTGATGTGACCGTGTTCAATTACATTCAAACTTTTGTTGAATGGGTGTCAGCACACACTAGTAACCATTTAAAGTACTTCTGATTAACCCCAAGCTCCAAAGTTCAGTGCTCTATTTTTAACTGTTCATAACTCCCTCAATCTTGACCAAGGGCGCAGGTCCAGTTAAGGAAAAAAAAAAAAAAACAGTTCCAAAGCATGATGCTGCTACCCTCACGGTTCACTGTAAGTATGGTGTTCTTTTGGAGAGGAGCAGTGTTGCATTCTTACAAAACATAACCGTTCAAAATATCAATCATGGTTTCAACACAAAACCTTCAGACTTCTGCTAAGACATAAAAAAAAAAAAAATGTCATGAAAGTCCTACCAAAACAGCTGAAATTTGATTGGAGGTACATGTACTGAAGGTTTTAATGGTGGCAGGTATGCCTTGACTCCCATTTAAAATGAGTTTGGATGCGACTGGTGTTTAAAAAAAAAGTTGTACGCGTTATAATATGCATTTGAACAGTGTGTGGAGACTTTTTTTACACGCACTTTACCAAGAATCAGATTTAATCACGGTTCTGTGTCATTATTTAAGGGTTCCAGATTGAATGACCAGAGGTGCGCTGCTCCACCCTCTGCTACACGAGGACCAACTGTCCCAGATGAAGATTTCTTTAGTCTCATCTTGCGTTCGCAGTCAAACAGGATGGAGGAACAGAGGGTCGTGCTGCCATCTGACGTCAGCCAGTCCAAACCAGACTGATGTCATGGAACTGAATTCCAATTTTGATTATTGTAGCATTCAAAATGACATTTCTGACCTCCTATTTTGTTTTATATTTTATTTTCTTAATATTTCACTCATCCAAAACCGAACAGAAAATATAAAGTATTGATTGTCTCCAATTATGTGGGGAAACATCTTAGGGAGTGTCAAATTTCAGGATTACAAAGCTTTCATTTTAAGCATTGTTGTTTCTGACTAAGCGTCGTATTCTCTCAAAGCAGCGTCTTTTGGTTGTGCCTCTCAATGACAATGAATGAAAAGGCCAATATGAAAGCAAGAAGGGAATTATGAACTTGACTCTTGACAACTGGGAGGCCCTTGCCATTATATGCCCTATCTTATGCAAACGCACACATTTTGGACATTTTTTGGATTGGTGTAGCTGTAGCATTTTTGGATTAATATCAAACAAGTGTTCTTTGTTGGGACATATTTTACTTAGAGCTTAGTGTTTCTTGAGCAAATGTCTCTTTGCCAGTCATAAAACTATTTTTTTCTGAAGTCTTTTAAGCATGTACGTCACATTTTAGTGCCATGACTATTTTTCTTATTTAAGGCCACACTTTTGAAGGGACTTGAACTAACTGGTGAAAAAAATGTTTTGAATTTTATACTGATGAGGTCTCAAAACACACAGCAGAAAAAAATAATAAAATCATTTTATTCTTATGTATTCACCGATGATTCCTGAAGGGCAAAACCTTAATTCAAAGTGAAATGTCAGAAACAGATCTCAGATTTGAGAGTGGATTCTTTTTCCTTGAACCAATGCAGCAAGTTTCCACACACACACACACAAACAAAAAGTGAAATATCTCTACTTTTTACACAAATCTTTGCTGTAGATCCATCCAGCCATTTTCTACTCGGCTTATCCTCACAAGGGTCGTGAGCATGCTTCAGCCTATCCCAGCTGCCCTCGGGCAGTAGGTGGGGTACACCCTGAACTAGTTGCCAGCCTATTGCAGGACACACATAGACGAACAACTATTCGCGTTCACAATCACGCCTAGGGACAATTTACAGTGTTCCATTAACCTGCCATGCATGTTTTTGGAATGTGGGAGGAAACCGGAGTACCCGGAGAAAAGCCATGCAGGTACGGGGAAAACATGCAAACTCCACACAGGAAGTCCGCAATCGAACTCTGCACCTCTGCGCTGTGAGGCCGACGTGCTTACCAGTCGAGCACTGTTCTGCCCCTTCCCTGTACAGCATATCTTATTTTCCTGTGCACTTTCATTCATCATGCAAACAAAACAAATACATTTGTACTTTGAAAACGATTGTTCTCTCCCACTGATTGTCAGACTTAAAACCAAAAAAAAGTGCAATTCCACACTCAAGCTTCAGTAACGTGGATGCGCTATTCATCTGACGTCAACCTCTCATGTCGCTCTCTGCACCTAAAATGAAAAAAAAGACCGGTATGGATTTAGTGACATCTAGTGGTAAAATAATAGAATTGCTTTTAATTGCCAATGGGAGTGGGGTCCACGGTCTTGAAGTCTAAGCCTAAATATGTTTGGCGATATAGTGTAGACAGTCTACAGCAGGGGTGTCAAAGTCAAATGGACGGAGGGCCAGATAAAAATTTTTGCTGCAAGCCGAGGGCCGGACTGATCGAATGTTCATTGAAAATTTTAAAAATAACCACATATTGTTTATTGAACCAAATTTAATTGACTGAAAACCTAACAAATACATTCCAATACGGTCAGATAAATAAAGCAACATTTTTTTATGGCTATGTCAGTAAACTTTAATTTTCAACAGGCACAAAAAAATTTCCTTTGTATAAAAATACCCATAACATGAATGAAAGAA